AGTCAATCAAGGATTTTCATTCTGTTTCAAGGGCTCCTTGGATAAACTCTTCAGAAATGTCAAGAGAGATGGAATATATGGCACCTTTTCACAGATGGTGTTCATAAGGATTTTTGTTAATGGAGAAAGTTTCAGTTTTTCATGGTTGACTTTGGTGCTAACAAAAGTATTCTAGTGGCCTCTGCTTTTTCAGAGGCTAGGGTATAGTAAGGAAGTTAACCCATAACACCTCCAACCCCTTTATTATTCATGAGGCAAAAAACCCGGGACATCATGGATTATCTCACTGAATTCATTTTACTAAAGAATGGAATATTTCTTGAAAAAGAACATTTATCTTGCTCTCCCCATGTCCAAGAACAACAGCAATCAAAAACAAATATACAACAGGGAAAGTTAAGCTGTCACATGGAGGGTTACCTAGTCAACTGGCCCATCATAGGCCATAATTATGTATTTTTTCTTTCATTTGTTCTAGAGTAGCCTATTCTCTTTCCATTCATTCATTCATTCTTTCATTCATTCATTCCTACATCTATTCAGCACACATATATTACTACTAATACACCTGACTCTGGGCTAGATGTTGAGTACAAGGGTAATTCGGACATAGTGTTTGCCTCCAGAGATTTTCAGCCTGGTGGTGGAGGAAGCCAAGAAAGCATATGATTATTTACCATTCATTGAGGTAAGTGCTGTGATGAGTGAGAGGTTGAAGGAGGGCTAAGGATTCTGGGAAGGCAGTGGGTGAGCACTCCTTTTGGAGGCAGGTTTGGGGAAGGCATTGCTGGAAGTGATGCTGTCAAAGCTAAGAGCAGAACTGAAGGGTATAAGTCAGTAAAGGTAGAGGATGGCGGCATTACAGAGCAGAGACCACATGTCCCAGGGCCGGGGAGAGGAGATGAGCGGTGAGGCTGGGAAGTGAAAGGCAGTCACCTCCCAAGAGCCTTGTAAGCTGCGGAGGAGCCAGGCTCTTTTCCTGTGGCCGTGGGAGCCTGTGAGAAGCTTAAAGCCAGTGGGTCTGAGGTCACTCTGGCTCCAGATTGTGCTCCATGGAAGGCAAGAGTACAGCAGGAGAGCTGTTAGGATCCTATTGCCCTGGAGAAATAAGGTGGTGCCTGGAAGGAAAGGGAAGTAGAAAATGAAATCTGATTAGATTGGTCTCAGCAGCCATGACATAATATCGTAAAACCAATAAAACACTGTTAGCCAAAAGCAAAAGTGTCAGGTCAGCCATTTGGTAGACATTGGGAAGGAAATAAAAACGGGCTTCAGTGGATTGCTAAGTGAGTCCATGAGTTCCCAAGTGCAGAGCGGGGAGAAGCTACCCTCTCCAACTTTATATTAGCTTTCCTGGGAATGCAATTGTGACTGCCCAGATTTACTGTTTAAGGCTTTGTGGTAGGCACCTCGTGTTAGCTGATGGCTACAGGAATATGAACCACTATGCGTGGAATCGCCCAGTAAACGTGTCTGAAGGTATTTGAGTGAGTAATTCCCTTGTACCAAAGCTTGCTATAATTTTCTTCAGTCTTTTTTTCTTTGTTTGTTTGTTCTACTCCCCATCAGTTTTTCGGGAGTCTTCTTCATAGCTTCCTATCCTTCCCGACCATTATTGGTGTATTAGGAAACAAATACAGTTGGGTAGTAATGAGGATAGGGAGCGTAGATTTAAAAAATTAAAGGAGGTTTCTTTCCAATCTGACATTAAGCAAGCAGGATTGGTCAAACTTTCTTATAGAAGGAAAACTAGCAACCAGCCTGTAAGAAATCGCTCACAGTTTAGGGGATATGTTACAAGCAAGATAAATAAAAGCAGTCTAGAGTATCAGGCCAAACTCTCATTTTCATCTCCGTTTCACACTCTTCTCTTTCAGCCCAGACTAATCAAAAGGAGCCTCTTCCGCTCACAATTGCTCTGTGTACATTTCCCCCAGATCTGGTATTCACATGAACAATGTGGTTTATTTATATTTCAGCACCAAATTGGAAAGATGACATCATTCATTTACAGTCTTTATCCCATGACATGCCTACTCTCCAACACCTCATTTCAGCAGACACATTTAGGGCTGCATATAGCATCTTGTTTAGCTTGTACATTCTTTTATGGGATACAGTTCAAAGGTAGGGAACTTTAGGCTTGTCACTGGTAAGAAAATAATCTCATAAAATCACAGGAGCTTCCCCAACGGGTAAGAACGTTATGATATTTACAATAGCCATTATTATTTGTTCATTTAGGCTCCATCGTTCATTCTTGGGCAAGTCCCTTCCTTATTGGCCAGAGCAGATTTTATAACTCCCTTCAGACCCCGGAATTCTATTGGAAGACACAATTCCAGATTTATTAGTTCACAAGTTCAAAGGTAACAGGCTCCTGACAATACTGGAATTTTAGGTGTGAGCACTGAATTTCCACATCTCTTGTACCAGGGTTGGCCAAATAAGGGACATCAGGGAGATCTCAGGACTTAGTCGGCAACTGACCTGTTTCTCACAAGATATACCTTGTCCATTGGGTCTTCTGATACTGTCAGGGGGTGAGTGAAGGACAGACATGCTATCAGCTGCCAAAGGTTTCCTGGGATTTTTAATGTAATTGCTAGGTGGATCTTTCCCTCTAATTTTATTGATTTTATCCATACAATGCTTTTTTTTTTTTTTTTTTTTTTACATCTACTCTGGGGCCATTCAAATATTGAACACGTTTTAAAAAATGGAATGAGTGAATCATGAGACATTTTTTGGCAGGTAGAACTGGGATGTGAGGTGTTTCCAAGACTTAACAGAATCGAAGCATTTATGGGAAGTGGTTTCTACCTGTTCAGCTGTTTGCCATTTTTGCTAACAGCGGGGCAAGGGGAAAAGCCTAACGATTCAGAATTGGAGGACCCAGAAAACCTCCCAGCCCTATGTCAAGAAAGAGGCTCTGGGGTTTGAAATCCATGCCTTAATTTTCTAGCTGCAGAGGGAGAGAGTAATAATATGTCCCAGGAAAGTTTTGAGGGTAAGTTAGATTGTGGGTGGAAAATACTGCAAGAATACACTGTGTGAGGTCCAGAATTATTATCAGAGCATTATTTATATCACATAATAAAATTCCCACTGGTTGGAGGTCCTGCCAGCCTCTGACGTCCAGCTCTCCTAAAGTGCTGATGGCTGGTCGTCATCTCGAGCTACCAGGGAGATTGTTACGTGATTCATGAGCGAGCCTCCCCTCTCAGTGACCTCCTCTGGCTGAAACAAGGGTGCAGCGTGCCTCTAGAACGGCAGCACCCCTCAGAGTCACGGCCCCTCCTTTCCTTCAGTCAGGCACTGCAGCAACAGGCATAGAATACACTGTCTACCAGGCGTCTTCAAACTACGGCCCGTGGGCCACATGCGGCCCGCAGAGGAGTCTGATCTGGCCCGCCAGGTTTTTTGGGCAGTGAGCGCAGCCGAGGTGTTACAGTAGGAATTAGTAGTTCATATAGTCCGGCCCTCCAGCTCTCTGAGGGACCGTGATCTGGCCCCCACTTTAAAAAGTTTGAGGACCCCTGGTAGACCCTCGGCTGGATTCTGGGGAGAGGCAGACGAGAGAAACAGCTGCTGCCAATAGACGGATAGATAAGTCTGTGGGTGCAGAGTGGTGTTTAGTAAGAGGCACACATCACCTGGCCTCCAGATTGGGGTCAGGAAAAGGCTGTGAGTTAGCTAAACACACAGGTTAGAGGTGAGGGAAGATGTCTGTGGGAGGTGTCTCAGACAGAGAAAACACGGATCAAAAAGGAGAAATGGTGCCTTGGCCAGTGCGGCTCAGTTGCTTGGGCGTCATCCTGTGCACCTAAAGGTTGCTAGTTCGATTCCCAGTCAGGGCACATGCCAGGGTTATGTGCTCCATCCTCAGTGTAAACAGGCAGAAGGCAACTGATGGTTTTCTCTTTTTCTCTCCCTCTCCCTTCCTCTCTCTCTGTAAAGATCAATAAAAAATATATTTTTAAAAAATAAGTAACAACAGCATTTTCCTTTCATTGCAAGCCTGTATTGTGCCAGGTTCATCATAGAGAGGGAGGCACTCTCCCTTCCATTTTAGAGTTGAAGAAATTGAGTCTTAGAAATAGTTAACTGAAATAAACCAGCAGAGAAGTGCAACAGGACTTGAATCCAGTTAGCCTTATCTCTAAACCCATCTTTATAAGCTTTCCGGGTTGAATGATTTTATTTGCCTTTTAAGCATTATTCTAGATTCTGTGACCCTGTTAGGTCAATTCTTCGCTGGTATGTTATTGCCCTGCATAGTGGAACAAGACACGAAAACAATTCTATGGCCCTGGGGTTTAGCTGTGACACCTGTGGCTTGCCCCCTGTGCCAGTCATAGTGGGAAGTAAATTTCAGTGGTCAGCTCTTCTCCATGGACTCTGTCCCTTTTGCTCAATTTCCCCCCAAAGCTCTATCAGTTAAAACTCCCACAGAGTACTCTTTCGCCAGAAGTCATCAAGGCAACAAACCATCTCCATTAGTGTTTTTGCATTTGGCAGTTCTCCCGTGGATTTCCTGCCTTGTCCTGCAAAACCATTGTTTGTCTGTGGTTCCGTGTCTCTACCCAGTCCTCTCCCATCTTCTCATGCAGGGCTTCCTTGTCTTGCTTGCTCTAGTCTAGAGCATAGGATGTGATTGTTGGCAGTCGATGGTGGCAAGCTTACTCTGGGTCTCTGTGATCGCTTGACAATGTAAAACAAAGCACCTTTGGATGAGTCCATCCTTCCCCCTTTAAACCACTTGGGAAAGTACAGTTACATCTACAAATGTAGATTCAAAGTCCAAGCAGCATCAAGGGTGTGGCAAAGCCTCTTTCACCAAAGCGTGATGCTTTCCTTCTAAAGTCTCAATGTGCCTACAAATGAAAACTTGTGGATTAGGAGCAAAGGGAGCCCTCTAGGTGCTATAAGGCTGCCCTGGGTGTCTTTGGCTGGGCTTCTTGCTCCTGACAGTCTTCCCTGGCTTTTGCTCTGAACAGACGCAGAACAGGATGAAGCTGATGGCAGACAACTATGACGAGGATCACCACTACCACCACCACCACCACCACCACCACCACCACCGGTCTCCTGGGAGGTCGCAGCATTCCAATCACAGGCCCTCTCCCGACCAGGTCAGTTTCCTCATACTTACCTCCAGGACCCCTTCTACCCTTTGGATATTTTAAGATAAAATAAATCATCCTCGAGAAATAATAAACAGCATAAAGTGATACGTTCTTTGAACTGAAACTAATAGCTTTGGTATTTATTTCCATCACTCAAGGAATCTAAATGTTTTCCTTTCTCCTTCCTCTTCAAGGTTTTGTCTGTTCTTGTTTATGTTATGCATTTTCTTGCCTGCTCTCCTTTCTTCTTTCATAGATAGGCAGTCTGTTGCCAGCTCCGTATCTACTGGTGGGTTACTTTGGAATGTCCTTTTCAGTTTTAAGAGAAAGCACTTTGTTTCCAGGATCTTGGCAACCAGAGAGGCCTTGAGTTTGCTGAGCACTTTCCTAGAAAATTCCTTAGTGATGCAAAGTAGCGGTGGGGCTAAACAACACACCCAATGACGTCAAGGGGATCTGGTTTCTTTGACTTGGACCCTCCCTTGACTCAGTAAAGCAAGTGAAAAGATGGATTGACAAACACAAGAATCTCCTGTGATTTTTTAAAACTATTTTGCATTCACCCACCAAATGCAAAAACTATTTACAGCATTCAGTATTAAAATTCTTGAAGGTGAGTTTCATGGAAATGATTAAATTTGATACAGGCTAGCAGGATGATAGAGTCCATGTTAGCAGTATTCCCGCCTTCATTGTATTAGGACCTTTTCTTTATGATCCTGGAATAACTGAGATGGTAATTTCAAGAGGGACCTAGACAGAAGTAATGGGATAGAAGCATCTTGTTAAATATGAATGCTTTTGTTCTGTATTTCTGAATATGTGAGGGGTGATCTTGTTGGAATGACCTATGTGAAGAGTTTTTTTTATTGTTTGTTGGAGGAAAGGGTGCTTACTATGCTCCTAAAGCTTTTTTTAAATCCCCAGATGGATCTGTTTTATTCTCACTTCATACCACTAGCATCCCAAAAGAGAAGTTAAGATTACAAGTCTCCTATATATTTTACCATGAGCACAACTCCAGGGGGAGCCATTTGTATAGTCTACAACATAAAAAGAGCTCTCTAGGGCTTGTAGTGAGGTAGCTCAAACCAGAAACCCCCTACCCCCAATCCAAGCTTGGCCCCACCCTTGTACTGGGAATTATTTGCCCTCAGACACCTCAAGGCTTTGTCTGTTCTTGTTTATGTTATGCATGTTCTTTCCTCTCCTCTTTTTGTCTTTCATGGATACATGGATAAGTACTATTGCTGACTCGGTGTCTACTGGTGTGTTATTTTGGAATGTCTTTTTCAGAACACCTGCAGAAGGTGTTCACACACAGGACATGTCAGTTTCTGAGGCCAAGTACAGAAAGGCACGAGCACATTTCATTAGCTAGAAATGGTTCTCAATTTGGAGACCAGCAAAGTGAAAAGGGATATTATTTTTGTGTCATTATCTTATATGACTGTGGCTTTAGTTTGATTTGGTTTTATTTCTTCATTTCTCATCCCTCACAACCACCACCACCTCCCCTGCCCCAGTGTAACTGGCATCCTGCTAATCACTTCTCTTCATTCTGATTCCTGGTCCCTAACTTTGCTCCTCAACCTTCCCCCATGTGGGGTGAATGTGAGGCTTGATTTGGTGCTAAAAGTCCACATGGCTTCTCCCCAGAAAGACAGGAGTAGAAAGCACCATAGGGGCATAAAGAAGAATTTGGAGCCAAACTGGGGGAGTTGATTGCACAAGGACCTGATAGGATAGCAAACAGGCTTGTTTCATCATGGAGATATGTATGCTAATATGTCCCAATACCAGCAGGGCATTTATCTGCCTTATGAATGATATTTCTTACAAAAGCTTATCTCTTGCTACTTTTCCAGAGGTCTTTAATCAAAAACTGGAGTACTTGCTTGCTTGGCTGACCCTTTTATGTTTGTCCATTGACATGAGAGGTTGTCATAGGGCAGAATCATGGCTCGGGGTTGGGGGCCCTTTCCAGAAGAGCTAGCATCCCTTGAGGAGTGTGGCTGTGGCATGTCATCAGGACTTCTGACACACCTTTCTCATTGCTACTGGTAAGAAGATGAGTCAGCAAAGCAGTAGGCTCCTTTGTTGCACATTTTCAGTTAGAAGAGGAGAATTAAGCAAGGACCTGTATGAGGAGGCTGACTCCAGTGACAATGATGCCCTTTTTGACTAGCTGAGAGGTCTAGGGAAATGACTCTCGATACTGAAGATCTGAGATTCAGAATCATCAAAAACTCTTATATCAATATATGCATTGTTATAAATCCAAGTCCCAGAGTGTAACAGTCCCTTTTTAAAATATATTTTTATTGATTTTTTACAGGGAGGAAGGGAGAGGAATAGAGAGTTAGAAACATCAATGAGAGAGAAACATTGATCAGCTGCCTCCTACTGGGGATGTGCTTGTAAGCAAGGTATATGCACTTGACCGTAATCAAACCTTTCATTCTGCAGGACAATGCTCTATCCACTGAGCCAAACCAGTTAGGGCAGAGTGTAACAGTCTTAAAAGTCTGGGAAGCCTGTCCCAATTGATTATGAACTCTACATATAATTATGTAAGCATATATGCTAATATGCATGATTGGAGTTACTTCTCTAGAGAATGTGACAGACCTATATCAGTGTATGACAAAACTGGAGTCTAAATAATGGATAATATGAATGAGATTTGAACTAAATGTCCATAATGGACCCATGTTCATTGAACTAACTTAACAGGAAGATATCACTTCCAGGATTCCCAGTTCTTTTCCCATCAATCTTGTAGCCCTGATTTTCCTGTGCCCCGAAGGTTGACTGTCACTGTCTTCGGGAAGGGGGCCTGCAAATGTTGACATTATCTTCTGAGATTTATTAAGAGATCAGAACATGAAAATGAAGAACTATAAACAGTCAGTCACTTTGCTACTTTTCCAGAGAAATTCATTTTTCCTCAGGAAATTCAATTTAAGTATTGCCAGGTTAGCAGAATTAGATTCTTTTTCCATTTCTTCCCTGTCCCTCTCTCCTTCACTATGGTTTTGCTTTCTCCTCGGGAGAAACTGAATCCAAGGGTTGTAAGTCTAGACTAGCATTTCCCAAAGTAACTTTGGAACATTAGTCCCACGAGGAAAGTCTTGAAACAGAGATTCAGTGGGCAGAGGATTTCGGGAAAGTGCTGCGTATTATAACTCAATCTTGGAGAATCTTGGTGCAATTAGCAGATCAAAGGATCGAAAAAGTCATATAAGAAAGAAAGCTCTCCAATTTTATTTAATCCAGCACTTCCCGGATTTATTTGATCATAGAATCTTGTTTTTTCTTTTCTAGTAACATCTGTGCTCTGAGAAATACTGTTCTCAGAGTATCAGGTGAAGAAGGAGACTATCCAGTTTAAAACATGGCTGATCTAGTTTCCAGCAGTGTTTTTCATCTTAAGGTGGAGTTTTGAAGCAATTTCCCCTCTGCTTTGCATAGCAGAAAATGAGTGTGCCCCTTTCACTTATTTCCTGGGATGCCTTTTTCAAAGGTTTAACATCTGTGTTATTCCACCCAAAGCCCAATAGGGCTGAACTAAGGAAGCCACTCTATGGATGAGGACCCAGGAAAGCAAGGATAATAATAAGTGCGCAGCCCCTCGGGGATTTGGAATGAGTGTGATGAGGGGAAGGAGGGTTTGGAGGACATGTAAGAGGAATCAGGAGGCTGTAGCAGTCCAGTGGCCAAGAAAGGAGCAGTTAACCATCAGTGGGCCCTGTGACCCCCAGGATGGCCATAGTCATTGAATATGTCCAAGTAGAACAGCCACACAATCCCAGGAATGCCTGCAGAAAGTCCTTCCAACCAAGTAGTGAGCACAAGGGCAGACAGCAAGTATTTCCTGTGACACTGCTGGTGAGCTTTGAGAAGCAGTAAGGACCAAAGGGTCACTGGAACAGGCTGGGACACAGGGATTTTATTTTTAGTGAAGGTGCCACTACTGATTTTAAAAAAGCTAAGTGGGAACTCGGCTTCTCAATGCCCTGTGTACCTGTCGTCATCAGTATCACCTGTTCCTGTCTGTGGTATCTTTCCTTGCCTCATCTATGAGGTTAAGTCTTTTTTTCCAGGCATCATATGATTTTCATTGTTCCAAAAAAAAGTCATATTTCATTCATTTCTTTCCAGTGGCTCCCAGGTATGAGATAACCTGTAGATAAAAAAACAAACAAACATACCCTCAGAGGGAACCCACACTCCAGCCAACACACAATGCCAGGGTCCAAGACTTGCATTTCTGTGGTTGGATTTTGGGTTGGAGATTGTGCCTTTAAGGTCCTGGGTCTCAGTGTCACTTCCACTTGCTAAAGCATCTGCCTCTCTGAGTCTAATGCCCTACCTGGCAAAGAACTTAAACATTTCTGGTTGGGAGCCCCTGGCATGTGGTCACGTACAAGTCCAGAATTCACTTCTCCTCTCTCCTTCCTCCGAATCAGATGCTCCCTGAGGGGAGTTGGGAAGCTCCACACACATTCGCTACCGGGAGATTTTTGGACCCCAATTAAAAGTTACATTTCACATTTTACTTCAGAAATCCTACTTCTAAGGAAGAACTAAAGTCTGGGAGCATGAAGGCATGGTATTTTTTAAATTGACAATTGATATGTTATTCATGCTTTTTTTTTTTCATATTACAAAGCACATTCACACCTGTCTGGCATATAATACAGCATAAATGTCAGCTGAGTACATTGTTTCCTCAGCACCTCTGGGAACTAGGAAGGGCAGATGGAAATTTCTCCAAGGTAAAGAAACGGATTTCCAAATAAAAAACAAAACAAAACAAAAAACCACAAAACAAACAAACAAACAAAACCACACAAAACCCTGGAGCTCAGAGAGGTTGTCTATTATCCAAGGTCACACCCAGAAAATCACAGGCCCCAAATGAGTCCCTGGGTTCTGTGCACTGGTGGCCAGCCTCTCTGATGTATGTAAGTATGCAGTATGCATTTGTGCAACCAAATGTA